GCCAAAAGAAATTCTCATGATCTTTTATCAGGGATTTTTGACAACCATAATGATCTTATTAATGTGTGTGTATACACCATAGAAAAAAAGCTTAAAAACATTGTCTTTGAGTATGTACTTTACATAGGCCTACTTCAAAAATGTGATTTCACAACCACCTCAGCCCCACCATGGCTGGGGCTGAGGTGAGAAAATTTGAGGAAATAGTACCTCTCGAAATGGCTGGAAATGACACTTTTATATAGTAAAATTCATCATCATCACATTACCATTATAGTCAAAATGAAACGACAACAAATTTCTCATGATCTTTTATCAGGGATCTACTTAATATCCAGGACAACTTAGGCCTAATTATAGCTTACTAAGCTTTAACTATATATACTATATTATGATAAACAATTAAATCACAACTTTTTTTTTGCATTTAGCACAATTTTCTTCACTTTTTATTGTTATTAATATTAATATCAATTATTACTCTCGTCATCATCATCATTAATATTATTACTATTAGTAGTAGTATTATTAAACAAACATTTAATGAAACTTGCAAAAGGATAAAAACGAAATTGAACCACAGTATCGCATTTCTATCTTAAAAGACCTGGCTTGAGATTTATGGATTTAAGATTTTTTTAAATCACGCTTAGGCTTATGTGTTCTATTAGGCCTATGTATAACGTGTACTGATGCATATTTACATGTTTAGAAGTATTCATTTTAAGTGATCCCAGGAAAGAATTTGTATTGGCTCAAGAATAAGCTTTAAATTTTAAAACTATGTACAAAGGGCTCGCACGGCTCGCACGGCTCCCCCCCTGGATACGTCCCTGATTCAAAACTCTATTTCAAATTCCTGGATCCTGCGCCACTGTTCACGTTACAAAAACGCTGCAGTTTGGTGCACAAAATTTGTTTGTACATATAAACATAAAAGCCTATTTATGACGTAATTTCTGACTAAATTTGCAAACGTCCCTGCAACGCTGTGTTAAGGTTATCTTTATTTTCTGACATAATTTAACCATAGAGGAATAGAATATTTTAAAATGAAGTGAAATTTGTAGTATTGGAGTATTCTGTAGCCAATTATGTAAAGCTCGAACGTACTCTAGTATATGTATATGCTATATATATGTATATGCTATATATATAGTATATATATTGCATACATATATCTGTGTGTGTGTTTATGTATATGTATGTTTTCATGTATATACGGCCTATGTAACAAATTATTCTTTTCCTTTAAAAAAAATGTAAATTTTGTTTAAGGTGTGCCGATGATTAAAAAAAATATCTATCCATCTGTCACACGCTGACGCCCCATTTGCAAAGATATGACTCTCA